GCAGAATCCAAATCAACTTGTACAATGTCCTTCCATTTTGTAAATAGAAGGCAGATATGCAGACGTTTTCCTGTAGTGATCACAGCCTTCTATTCTTCATCCCATAAAGAAATGAAGTTTTCGAGAAATTGCAAGGAAATGTAGAAGTATAGGTGACTCTACATCTTTACAGTAAATGATCAACACAGTGTCCTTCGAGTATGAAATATTGCCTAGCAATTGTGTGCTTGCAATCGTTGCTGTGGTCTTCGATTTGTGTTTTTAGTTTACTCAGCTACCAACTATTGCACGACTAATCAATACCGTTTTCGATTGTTCACCTGGGAACGTTAAGACCTTAATGACATTGATTTGTTAACAATAAAGTTATGCTCAAAATGTACTGTAAGTGTTCAGCTTTATAGTGCTTATGCTCTGGTCCGCTTACATTTTATCCGGTTATATATCATAGAAATCCATGAAAGTACTTCAGTTCTAGTGCTGAATGCGGTGATGTACTCTATATTTTTGCTCGCTGTTACTTTGGTTTTTGGAGCGGCCAAGGATTATGAGGTATGGTTTTTTTCCTCTGTTCAATTTCCCCAAATAAGCAAGAATCTTTTGAAGACACCGAAAGCAGTTCTTTCTCCCACTTTTCGATCTTCCCAAAATTCTCCAGGTGAAGAAGAATTTAGGAGGTTTTATTTTCGAACATTAGTATAAAGCTTATTCAATCATTTACTTACAGTGCGAAAAGTGGCACGAAGGCGAAAGACATCTGACATTTTCGCTGTCGTCCAAGCAAAATCTAGAAAATACTGTCACATTTGATTCTTTGCTTGCCTTGCCGTAGAGCTTACCCTTTCACAGCTGTTTCTAATACATCCAGATTGTGGATTGATTTGATCGTATCAGTAAGCAGAAAGATGCTTTGGATTTTTCAAGTTACTGAAAGCTCTCGTGCAATAATACTGCTAAAAATGAGAAAATAACAAAACAAGACTAGACATTGCTCAACACGAACGTATTCATTCAACAACTTTGCTGTAGCGAGAGAACCTGACAAGATATTTTCTTATAGCACGTCGATTTAAATAACCACCCACTAATTTCAATGACAACTGTTGCACTGCTCGGAACAAATAACTGTGATTAACACACTCTTGGCAATAACCATTGATTTCACTGCATATGTAGCTGGAAGTAACCCGGACAATCTTTTTTGGACAAACTTTTATTAACTCATAGCAATACCTCTATCACCTGTCATCCCGTTGATTTTCGGGTGACTGGAACGGGTGCTAGCAAATTTTTCATTTTCCCTGCAAGAGTGGGTTTTACTTACTTTAGGGTCTCCTTGAGCATCATGTCTAACTTCTAGGGTTTTCATGAAGAACTCTGACCATCTGGGCAGTGGTCTACCTGTAGTACGATTTGACATCTCAAGGAATCCACTCACTAACGAATCTTGCCTGTCGGATGTCGTTCATATAGGCATGACGTGTGCGGCCCATGACGTTTTCGATAGCTTACCTTACAGAACGCCTTCTTTGATTTTTTGGTTGTTGCCGTAGATCGGAGCTTCGAATGCCTTCCCTCACTTGTCTACCATAGAGCTCTCCTAGCATTGTTCTTGCAACTGCGCCTTCAATAACGCTGAATGATCCGTGATCCTGCTCACGCAGCAACCCGGTTTCTAAAGCATACGTTAAGGCAGGAAGAATCATGGAGTTGAAAAGGTGGGCACAAAGTCGGTCGTTCTTTGTTTTGCTTATTGCGTTCTCGATGCTCATAGAAGCTCCTTAAGTCGGTCATTTCCTCCTGCTCAGCTATAGAGCTAAGTCGTTCATCGTGTTGATTTCCCAACTAAGGTAGATATATAGAGCATTTGGAGATATTCATTCTGTTGAGCGTGAATGGGGCATGCGAAACCAATCCGTTCTTCATGAACATCGTTTTTGTGAGATTTAGTCGAAGACCAAGCTTTCCACAGCTTTATCAAAGTCGTCAAGTATATATTCCACTTGGATGATGTTTGGTGTTATAAGGACTTTGTCATCAGCAAAGCGAAGATGGTGTAACTGCCGACCGTCGATTTTCACTCCCATATTACCCCATTCGAATCTTCGCAAGAAGTTCTGAAGGGTGGCGGTAAATAATTTTGGCGAGATCGCCTTGCTTAACCCATCTTGTCGTCGATGTTAATATCGTTATAGGATGATGATATTTTCGTTGCGAAATTTTTAAATAGCTCACGAAGGATCTTTGCATACTGAGTGGGGATGCGTTATCTTTCCAAGGCTTCCGTTATTGCTGCTATCTCAACTCAGTAGAAAACCTTCTCTAAGTCGATGAAAGTGAGAAAAACTGGTCTTGTTCTCGCCACACCTCAGCTCATGGCTAATTTTAGAAATTGGAATAAAGCTATTAGAAGCTGTGCTTCTTTGCCAGGGATTTGTTATTTTTTTCACTTTTCCACAGCAATGAATTGTTAGGCTTCTGAAACCTAGAGTTTCTGTGTCTTCGATTTCTAATTGAGGTCGAATGACGATTAGCGAAGCAGTTCGTCAGGAGGTGTAGGATTTTATCCAGACGAACATCGTGTGATGGTGAATTTATCGCTAACGTTGGCGAATGCCACGTTTTCTTCAGATTTTTTGTCCATTACTGTACGAATATGCTTTCGGAATTCAAACTTAAAAAAGTCTAAATTGTTTACCTTTACGATGCTTAATTGATTTAAATGCATCCGTGAAGGATTGATTGACGTTGGAGATTTTATCCTTTTTGTCGTTTCATCTCATACGGTTTCAATTTTGTACTTAGTTTCTGGTTAGATCTGCATCTTGTGCTCGCCAGAGAGTGGCGTTGCTTATCGAATTTTGGTTCATGTGTTCTCTATCGGAAAAAGATACCTGAAGAAAAGAGATTGAATTTAAGGACAGGAAGAACCCAATTATGAATTAGGCATTCACAGTTACCAACTTTGTAGGCGAACCAAAGGAAAACACCATAAATGGTGAAGCATAGACGATGCGCAAAGTGGACTCTATTGATTCCGATGAAGGATAGCAAAACCAGCTGTCATAGACGATGAACTATTGAGATATTAGAGAACTTTAAACTTTCGAGTGCCGTTAGTGAAGAATGCTTCTTTCATTGCAAATTTAACGTAAATACTACTTCAAGTAATGTAGTCATTAGATAAATTGCTAGGATTTTCGTACATTGTTAAAATGGAAACTTTCATCTTTTATAAGATCGCTACATGCACTTAAAAATTGAAGTTAGGCTCAGAAGAACGTCAGGAAAACTCTACGTCGAGTCCTACTGATTCGAGCGGAGCGAACACAGCGTTGTACAGCCAGCCGTGGCAATGAGATCTGTCCATGGTAGCTCGCATTTCTAACAGGTTTCCTCTCATATCTGGACATGAATCTTCCTGGCAGAAAGATTCATGAAAAATTTCATGTCATCATCACAAGTTAAAGTTTTGCATAGACAATGTTTTTGCTGTCATTAGTTTACACGTTGAATCGCAGAATGTTTTCTATTGCGCAGGTTGTGTTTCTTAGGTCAAGAAAGGTAGACTGCAGATTCTAAGAAGTGAAAGCTCGAAACTTTCCAGGATTTTAACAGTAATGATAACGACGGAGATGATTGATAATGTTAAAAAATCAATAATATCGAGGATCTAAGCTTGAGAACATAGTTTAAACGTGTGTTAAGATTCCAATATTGTTCTTTTAGGGGTTCTGCGAAGGCTACTTGAATTGCATGCGACAGCTTGAAGCAAAACAGAGAAATTGCCTTCTGATAGAGCAAAATATCACGTGAGTTAATATTGTGATGTGATCGTTATTTTAATATTGGTGAACAGTTCGACACTGAAGATACTTTAGGTAAAAGATTTGGAGAGCCTTTAAAAAAGGTGCTCACAGACATTACCGATCTCTCCATAATAGGGCGGAAATATTTCGCTGGATATCTGGTAGCAAAATTTATTATATGAAAGCGAGAAGCTAGTGTACACTGGATGTTCTGGCTTCTTCCAATAACTTTCATTTGGGTCGCATATTGCTGCTAGGCATACGTTTTCCTCTCAGCCTGAGGTAGTCATAATTGCGCTTTCTGATCGGGAGATCTGACAACCTGTGAGCAGATTATTATTTATTTATTTTACATGACTTGTCATCACATCCACTGCGCGGTTCGCAGTACTTTTTGCATTCAAGCGTTAAGGCGGGGTCAAATTAGCGCCTTTGCTTTCTGATCGACGAAATCGCTGACCATTGCGCTATCAGCGCTCCATGAGTAGATTCCTGTCCTAAATTTACTCTTAAATGGATTTCCGAGCGCAAACGTCTGGCCCTTCATCTTAGGTGGTTGTACTGGGAAATTGATTTTCTTTACATTGCAGTTGGATACTCATTAACATCTCTCGCTGTTACTGAGAAGAAGATTATACAGTTATAAATTGAAATTGAATGGGAATGGGAAAAATTTGAATGAGGTCGGAAAGTTCTAATTGATGCAAGAGCCCTATCATAAAAATTAATGAGCAATGAGTAAAAGTTACACACTGTGATTTAAACTGCAGCCGCAGCTTAACTGGGTTGAATGCCGATTTGTCCTCATCAGATCGTTGCTGCTGAAGGGCGACTGCTGGTGACACTATTAGGGTAAATAAAACTGGCTCAGAGAAACGTAAACTAAGGGTCTCAGTTGTGCAGTGCTTAAAATATAAGCCCCCGAAAAGAGTATTCGCGGGTTCGAATCCAGTTGGGTGTCTGAGTTGTGCACATACCTCAGCATCATTGTGATATGATATAAAGACGAATGACTGCAGTGCACAAATGTCTTTGCGAGGATGTATATCAGAAGCCAAATGTATTATAGGTTCACCAGAAACAATGAACATATGAGTTTTATCTGACGGCTTTTGTGCTTATACTTGTGTTGCTTATTTTGCTATATTCCATTCAATACGAAAGGCGTCTTTGGTTCGACCACGTCTATGCATGAATCATCCGCTAAATTCAGAATAATATTCCTACTGCGTTCCTTATTCTTGGCTTGAGCTAGGTTAGGAATACGAGATCTTTGAGAATTTGTGGTATGTTCGTTGTTATAACGTTTTGTTTAGGATGACCAACAGCGACTTGTGCACACGTAGACGCTGGAGGTTCAAAATCGCTCTGAACGGTCTTCATCTGAGAAGAGCGGAATTAGCTCGAGACTGTGTCCAGTTTAATACCAAGGATGCCAAGATGTCGGAGTCTACGCTAACGTCTGATGAGGTGCAAGCGTTTTCTGCTCCGTCTTTTGGCTTTAATAAATTTCTAACTTAATGTAAGGACCCTTCGGAAATATTCCGTGTTCTATGATTCTCGTCACCTGTAGTCGATTGCACTTTATTCCACTACAAGCTCTATTTTATCACACTGAAACTTCATACGATATTTTCTACGAGAGACATTGTCAGCAAAATATTGGGATGGAGTTTCTTTTTTGGTGCTTCATCTTTCATACGCTTACTCTTGTGGTTTCTCTTAAAAATAAAACAAATATCTGCCATATTTATGCGGCTTCAGGTCATTCCATCAATTTAAGGCCATCTCTGCTCCCGGCTTGTAAACATACGAGTCTCAATAACTTAGCTTGCTGTATAGTGTCGAAGAAAACTTAAAAGAGCATCATAAAAGATAGATGGCATCTAAAAATGATAGGAGTGGTTCACTCAGTGACTTTTTGTATAGAGTTTTATTTCCGATATCTATTGTTAGGGCGATGGAAAAATAGTGGCACGTTTTCAGTGGAGACTTTGAAGTGCTGTTACTTGGCCCAAAGAAAGCCTTATTTATTTCAATAATAATCACTAGAGTGCATGTGTTTTCTTGACGAGACGCAAGTCCATGCATTCTCATAATTTTGTGAATGACAAATTCTTTGACGGCATTTTTCACAGATACTTGGTGTTGGTTAGCGAGATATACAATTGATATTTCTGCTAAATAAATTGAAACTGCTAGATTAATAAAAAAGTAAAAAATAAAAAATAAATAAATTTGTTGTGCCAAATAAGTTAGAATTTTGTGCCCCGGGTGCGTTCGACTTCTACAATGTTTGTTATGGAAGAAAATTGGATGGCTTCTCTCTACTTCTGTTCAGCAAACTCAGGGTGCTGTTTTATTTCTTTATTTACGTACTAGCTGACGTTTCGGCGGATTTCGCCTTCCTCAGAGCCTGGAAAGGTCAAGTTGACAGCAATCTATTCGGCCAAACACCTCCATAACCAAACAAAGAAAACGCTAAACCAAGATTTCAATCACATTTAACACAGCTCTGCACACTCACCGCTTTCTACAAGTTTTCCACTGAGTATGTCGTGTGAGGACCGACCGCGCAGAATTCACATGGAAGCGTAATGTGCCCCTCCCATCAGAATAACAGGTTTATATACTGTCCAATATCGCGCGTGATAATGAGGCATTCCTCCCTGCGGTTCATTTTCGGATTCTTGGAATTAATCCAGAATGCCTCTAGAGCTTTGCGCGCTTGTGTTCTCGATTCTTGCGCGAGGATCGTAACCCTTACTTCAAAATCTTCTCCGTTATGTCTCTGCGTCCTATACACTGTTGGATGATTTCTGTTGATTGGCACTGGATGCATACGTTTCAGTTTTTAATGGGTTTATTAATGTGTAACTGCACTTTTTTCGACGCGTTCCGGATGCAAACCAGCAGACGGTAAGCGTAAGCTTATCTTGGTTCAAAGCTGTCTAAATATGGATAAATAAATAAATACTTCGCCTTATTCTTAGCGCTGATCGCCTTTGATTATCGTATAAGATTCATTTTTTATGGCGCTTGGTAATGTGATCGAAAAATCGTCTTTTCTTTTTGTTAACTAGAACAAGCTTTGAATGGACTTCACGACGAAGACCGTGAGGCAGTTAGATGTTGGTTGAGCCATTTTTCATCTTTTCAATGTCTTACGGAAGACGAATAACAGTTGAATAAATAAGATTGGCGTTTCAGCAACGCTAGAGTTGCTTTTGAGAATAACTTTAGATTCCACAGATCTCCATCACAAAGTGATCTGTTAGTCGCGAGGCAACGTGGCGCCTCCCCAGGTGGCGGATAGGGTGTTTGTCTTAGAACAAAACCAACCTTTGCCTCTTCGACACGCAGGTGGATCCAGGGCATGGACTCCTTGTTTCTGCTGCGTCGAATTGGCACACAATTTCTGTGTTTACGAAGGCATATTCATGCATGCGTGTGTGAGTGTGTTCTCGTTTATGATGATTGCATTTTACGAGTCAATTCGGCCAAAAGCCTGAGGTCAAGTAAGAGGGAAGTATATGGGAGACGTTTAGGAGTCGTCTCCAACAAGCAATCTCTCCTGTGTAGTCTGCGAGATAATGCCACTGCACGTGAGTACACCCAAGCCCCACGGTCGGAGTTCAGCAAGTTATACGTGGGTATTAAACTCCAAGCACGGTAAAATAAACAGGCCTCATTCCCCTAACCTCAAAAAAGTCTCCGATATCGCAGCGTTGAATATTACGAGTACGGTGAGGCCTGCAAAAATTTTGGGGTCATCATAAGCTGCCTAGATCGCAAAAGGCTGAGATGACAATCTGTACCTACAAAACACGCACACTTGCATCTGTGTCTTCGATAGAAGAGTTGATCGTGCAGGCGAGAAGGCTAAGTTATGACATCATCGGACTCTACCCGAGACGAGACGATGCCACCCATTTAATGCCGTCTATGACACCGAAAAAGAACTGTTCCTCGCAACATGCAACAGTGGAGGGGCCGGCGGCGTCGGAGTTCTCGTCAATACGAGTTTGTCCATGAGCATCGATTCATTCGAACAATTGACAACCGCAATCGGAAGTGTACGATTAAAAGGATATGCTTCGTATTCTTCTTGAGCAAACGTGAGGTGTTACTTTTATTCTTTATTCACGAATAAGCTAACGTTTCGGAGGATTTTGTCTTCCTCGGAGCCTGGAAGGGCCAAGTTGACAGCAATCTATTCGGCCAAACACCTCCATAACCAAACAAAGAAAACGCTAAACCAAGATTTCAATCACATAGAACACAGCTTTGCACACTCACCGCTTTCTATGAGGCTTCCACCGAGTATGTTAAAAGGATATGGATCAATACCGACTTCGACAATCTTCACCGCTTATGCTCCGGCATCAAACTATGACATAGAGTCGAAGTCGAAGAGTTTTATGTGGACTTGGAAAAGTTCTACAGAGGAAACAAACATTTGCTAGGTTTATCATTGGACACTGAAATGCCAAGATTGGACCAAAAAGAACGTCTGAAGAGCGTCATATTGAGACCACTGGATTGAAATGGAATGAGCACACTTTGCGGCTCTCCGAATTTGTTATAATGACCAAGAACATTCCTGGTAACTCGCAATTCCAGAAGCCCAATCTCGTCTCTGGGCGTAGGAATCTTTCAATGGAGAATACCAAAACGAAATAGACCATATCGTAGTAAATCGAAGGCTTTCTTGACCGATGTCTCCTTTCCCCCGTAGTCGTGCATGGCAACAGACCATCGCCTCCTTCGTCCAAGATTTAATTTTTCGCGGAATGGAGAAGAAGCCAGAAAACTCAGAAGCAAGGTCCCAAAACGATTACAAACGGAAATTTATTCAATTCACTGGTTGGCTGTTGGGAAGATGCCGTTCTTAATAACATCGGCGAGAAACACGGTCGGCTCATTCAACATCTTCACTTCAGTGCTATGAAAACTGAGAGTTCAAAAATCACCAGGAAACATCGCTCTCCACCAATACTCGAGCTAATACGGCAGTGCTGAATCATATGAGCTACAGACAACCGATAACTGTCGTCCGAACGTGCCAAACAATGCGGACAGACGATAAAAGAGGATATTAGATAGAAAGAACAGCAGTTATTGTCGAAGCACCAATATACACAAGTGAGGGAAGGGATCCGAAGCTCCGATCTACATTAGTGATCGAAAATCAGAGATGTCGTTTTATATATTCCATACGCCAAACAATCGAAAATAAGCTGGATAGGAGACGTAATGCGTATGAACGACAACCGATGGACAAGAGGCGTCAGTGACTCTATTCTTCGGTATGTCAAACGTACTGCAGGAAGACCGCCGACCCGATGATCAGAGTTTTTCACGGAGAGCCTAGAAGAAGGATATGATGTTCAACAAGTCTCTGGCTGACCAGCTAGCACTTTTCCCAACCATCTAGATGGCTGTGTAAATTGTCAACAACGAAACCGTTGGTAAAATTGTCTTCTCATTCTTAACCGTTTTATTTACTGACTACTCTTTTTTTTAATGGCAGGATACATTGCAAAATACAACTTCAATGAAAGCTGAGCTTTGGCGAAACTTGGGACCGCAGGTGTCTGCGGTGGGGAGTGAACGCGCTATTGCCCTGGTGTGGTGGTGAACGCGTTACTCCCCGGAAAGGACAATAGCGCGTTCGTTCGCCACCGCAGACACCTGCAGTCCAGAGTTTTGCCGAAGCTCAGCTTCATTGAAGTTATATTGTCTTCTCGTTATTTCCACAACTTACTGTCTACTAACTTCGGCATTATTCAAATAAATCCGCCTAAGCATGAGCCTCATCGTAATAAAGAAAATAAATAAACTCTTAATTTTTTGGCAAAAATGTGTAGATGCTAATGGTTTTGATTCTCAAGGATAATGGTTTAAAACTCACGGTTCCAAATCGTAATTACTCTTGCATCAATCACTAGCAAAAAACAAATTGAAATAAGTGAAATTTTCAGATGAAATCTTGTCATTCGATCCAGACCAAGCTCAAGTTTGCCGCCGCTAACCTCGGAAAAGCGCGCTTTTCAAAAATCTCAAGAAAAAGCGATATAAAGAAAGTGAGATTTTTCCTAGTCTTATTCCGATATGATATTCGCATTCGTTACATACTTTTGATGATTAACACTTCACAATAAAAAGGAATTACAGAAGGATAATCGATATTCACACTGGTGATACTCACATGAGGTTATTTCTTTCAGGCCTTGATATGTCGGCGAGATACCAAGTTGTGGCACAAGAAGTGCTCAAATCTAGCGAAATGTTGCCCACTAACCAAAGAGTACGTTTGAAATGTTTTTTTTTCAAACACTGAAACAGTGTGTGTTTTATGACGTTGTGACGATGAATCGAAAGAATTTTTCTCGTTGTTGTGTCGACGAAAACATTAGGCGTTTTTAGTCTGCTGAAGCAGAGCTGTATTATATACACTTATTTGATTATTAGGATAGTCCATGTTTACAAAGGGCAGCGTTTTGCTGTGCCTTCTCCACCTAGTACATGAAACTTTTACTGAACTCTGCCTGAGTTATTAACATACGGTAGTCGGTGGTATAGTGAGTGAGAGCAAAGCTTGTCGACTTTTGGTTAAGCTTCTTTCTTGACAGAGAGAAATCACTGTGTTCTGTGTGATGGACTGTCACATGGAAGTGTCGGTCTTCCTTCGCAGCTTAGGTGACCATGATTCTAAGGTTGAACTCTCATTATACTTTTCAGTTCGACAGCCAAGAAATTTTCCCCAATGTAAGTCATTAAGGGTGGGTTTACTATGTAGCTAATAATTATCCTGGAAAAAGCAGCAGTAAATTAGGACATCCTAAATCGAATTGTAACATCGTTTCTAATTCAAAGTGTATTGCCAACTATTCTTCAAACGACTGACGAAAGCGCCTTGATAAAGAAGCTGATTCAACAACGCAAACTCAGAAGAAGGCTTTCGATTTCTTCTTCGTGATTCCAAATGCGGTGTTTAAGACGTCGTGAAGCTTCTGCTCTTTCACATGAACTGAAAAACTGAGCGAATTTTCAGATAAATAACTGTACATAAATTAGGGATACGGAGATATGAGCAAAACTTGGAACTACATTTGGAGTAATCGGTACTCGCAGGTTTGAATCCCACGTGAGGCTCCGAATTTTGCTCGTGTTTCAACATCCCTCTTGTTGTATTTCACATCGTACCATGGTCCTTAAAAAAGATTGCCTGGTAACAAGAGTGGAAGCATTGTGCACAAGATGCTTCTTCCTTTTTTATTTTTGGAACTCTTGAAGGTTACTGAGAAAAATTGAAAGCTAGGGCGAAAAATGTCCCTCTTCAATTATTGTTTTTAAGCTGCAAGGTAACCACAAAGGAA